AGTGCAAAGCCTCTAGACTTTTTTTTTAATGTCCAACACAATTTACAAAGCATCAAGGCTGCCTTGAGGTCATCTTGGCTCTACTGAAACATGAAAGGGATGGGAGAGGAAGACAGAAGAGGGAAGGTAGCCAATAGGAATGAATTAGGAAAAGAAAGGAAGGAAGAAGGGATATCCCATAGCGGATGCTTTGGTATCAATACAAAAATATTGATGATAATGAAAATATTTGTTCCAGAAACTTCCCATGTATCATGCCAATGAAGCAGGTGGGCACTTTTCTTTCTGAACTAAACCAAGACAATCAACATAGAGACTAAATGGTGGAAACCTCTTATATCTTCCTCTGCTCCCCACCATGCCACAGGTAAGCTTTTAAAAGCACCATGGGAATTATCCAAGTGCTCCAAGTGAAATCAGGTGAACTAAAAGTCATTTAATCAGGATTTCTTCCAAGAACCCAATATTTAGTTTCATTTGTAAAGAAAGCCATTCATGACCCTCAACCATGTTTACCCACTTGAAACACCATGACTACAAAGCAAAACTTTTTTTGTTGCTGGTCCTGAAAACCAGCCAGCCTGTCATTTCGGGTTCCTCAAAGCCAGGCAGGTGGCATTTTATTCTTGGGCCTTTGGGTAGAGACAGGATTAGTTAAGGAGAGCATTTGCACAGCGCACAGTACCGGGAAGTCGTTAATTGCTTGTATGGACCAACGTCGCCGGGCAGAGCGAGGAGACATCTGTGCGTGAAAACGTTACACCCAGGAAGAGGGAAGAAAAACACCAAGAAAATTAAAAGGGGAAAAATAGAGAATAAAATGAAAGCTTTCCTCACATTTGATGGATTAAAATATATTTATATATATGTTACAAAAGGGGAATGAAATGACTGGAAAACCTAAACTGCAGCATAGTAATGTTTGGACTCCCTTTCCTCCCCCAACCTATCACACACCAGGACCAGCTTCCAGTTCATTGTTCTTTAGTCATCTTCCAGGATATAACAGGATGCTGCCACACAGTTCTGACTCGAACAGGTCTAATATCATGGTGCAAGCAAAAGAATAGGCAAAGACACTCTCTCTTTTTCGCTTCACATGTACTGAGAGTGTGTTCTCTCACTCCTAAAGGGAAGTAAGTTCTTTATTGGACTCAACATCCTATGTGTGAATGGCAGGGGCAATGAGGGAATCTGGTATTTTGACACTGGGACTGAACGACTATTTTCAGAGCAATGCAGGGTCGGGGGTAGAGAGGGAATCCTGGAGAATTGAGGGGAGGGGAGAAGAGAGCTGAGCTGAGGAAGAATGTTGAGTGTCCCCTTGCTAACAGCAAGAGCATCTGAGCATGGAACTGGAAACATACCCCACTGATTATGGAGATCAGATGTGATTCTACTAAACTTAAAGATCTCACCAGTTATTTGCTCTTTTATTTGCTCTTTTAATAATTAACATAAACTAAAGCAAAGATGAGATCTTTTTTTAAGGGCAATGCCTAATTTTTATAAGTTCTGGGAATGCTGGTTTATCCTAGGAATAAATGATGCTTCATCAGCTATTAGTAGTTGATGTATTTCCAAATTCATTAGTGTTAGCATCTCTATGCTTTTTTACTTCTATGAGATTTGGTAGGTTTTGAGGTCTCTTGCATATTCAAAATTTTAGGAGCAAACTTCGGAATTCTATCTGGAGAACATTGGGTAAATATAACAATTTGACCTAAGTAGACAGGTTAAAGGCACAAGAAAAACAAAGAATAGTCACCTAACAGATCTATAAAGATGTTCTGTAATCTCAAAAAACTATCCTGTAATTCCTTCATTGAAAGGCTTTATGCTGGCACATTCTACTACATTCTTCCTCATTTAAACCTCTCATGGGAAGAGATCTAAAAGGGAATGAAAATATGTAGGAAAAAAACTGGGGCACCAAAACATTTAAGCTGGAAACATTTCCAGATGAAAAGTAATAAGGTGATATCATCTGACAAGTGAAACTAGACTCTCAAGGGCTCAAAAATAGTCAAGGGGTATTGTGCTCTATGAGAAAGATAAGGCAGCCTGTGTATGATATTAATGGCAGTATTTAAATGAACAAGCTTCAAGGAGATACGTTTATTCAAGTTCATCACAAATTAACTTATTCCCTTTTATTTTTTGAAGCTAATACACAAAAACACATGAAACTTTTAGATGAAAGTCAATTATCAGTAATTTCATATGAAAACCTAATGATTATTATATGTCATCCATTAAAATGTGTCTTCCTTCCCCCAGGGCTTGTGAGAGTCTTGCAATGTTCTAGGTCTTGACCTGGGAGACTGTTAATTCACTGAACCATATGCTAATGATTTGAAAACTACATATGTTATACATCAGTATAGAATTTTCATATGAGAGTATAATGTATTTAAAATAAAACTTAAAAGACCACTTCCTATGTCAGACTAGGATACTAAAATAGCCCGTTTTCTGAGGAGAAGCAGTGTAGTAGTAACCATCCCAAACTGAAATATTACATTCCATCTTCCATGCTTGAGCAGATACCATGTGCTAGCAGTTAATTAGCCAAGTTCTCCTAGTGCCTTATTATGATGATTATATTGCTAGTAAAAGGGGTTGGACCATCACAAATAATGAATGTAGGTTTCCCCATTGCTTTTGCATTAGGAGACATCATTCCATCTTCAAACTGGAGTTACTTTTTCTACAGACAGGCTTTATTTACATGACCACATTATCAAAAGTGCTGGTCAACCTACTCTGTCCCATCTGAGCCCAAGCATGCAAAGGATAGGCTATAAATGGAATGAGTATTCAGAATTGCCTCTGACTTAAACATCTCCTCAACGTGGCCCAGATGCTAAAGGAAATTCTCACATTTATGCAACTATGATTTTATTTGAGTTAGGCCACAAATGCCTTAGTTCCCACTAATATAAAATCATCTGTCTGGTTACTTGCTAGCCTGTAGAAAAAGACAAAAGAGGGCTTGGAATATGGCTTAGTGGCAGAGTGCTTGCCTAGCATGCATGAAGCCCTGAGTTCAATTCCTCAGAACCATATAAACAGAAAAAGCCAGAAGTGGCACTGTGGCAAGTGGTAGAGTACTAGCCTTGAGCAAAAGAAGCTCAGGAACAGTACTCAGGCCCTGAGTTCAAGCCCCAGGACTGGCCAAAAAAAAAAAAAAAAGAAACAAAAAATGGGCTGAGAATGTGGCTTAGTGGCAGAGTGCTTGCCTAGCATGCATGAAGCCCTGGGTTTGAGTCCTCAGTACCAAACAAATAGAAAAAAACAGAAGTAGCCAGTGCTGGTGGCTCATGCTTGGAATCCTTGCTACTCAGGAGCTGAGATTTGAGGATCGCAGTTCAAAGCCAAGCTGGGCAGGAAAATCCATGAGACTCTTATCTCCAATTAACCACCAGAAAACTGGAAGTGGCTCTATGGCTCAAGTGGTAGAGCACTCACCTTGAGCTGATGAGCTGAGGGAAGTGCCCAGACCCAGAGTTCAAGTCCCATAACCAACAACAACAACAAAAAAAGCCAGAATTGGCACTGTGGCTCAAGTGGTAGAGTGCTAACCTTGAACAAAAAAAGAAGCTCAAGGACAGTGCCCAGGCCCAGAGTTCAAGCCCCAGGACTTGGGGGGGGGGGAAGGAAAGAAAAGAAAAAGACAAAAGAGCTAATAATTTGAACATAGAAGACTTGGGAGGAATATAGTTTGGTATGTGTCCCAAGGATGTCCTTGGCAGCCAATGGGGCAAAACTCCATCAGAGATACAAGGCAAGGGACTATGGAAGGAGACCAGGAAGCAACAGAAAGTCATTTTCCCTTCTTAATGGAATGGCTTTGCCTAAGGCTGGTCCAGTCCCAAATACCATTTGCTGTCCTTCATTTTGGTCACATTCAGTCCCAAGATAAGACCAAGTCAGAGCTGGTCAGTTATCAGTGTAAGCCAAAGGTAAACACTATTTGCAGTCGAAGTAAAGACACCTCCAATACTTGAGTGAAATGGTTATTTAAAATAATTCAATTAAAAATAAATTTTAATTCCAATCAGTCCACTTAGGGGGTAAGAAGAATAAAGAACTGCCAAAGACTAAGTGGGAACTATTTAAAACCTATCAGTTATAACATGTTTAGATCAGATTCTCAAGCTGGCAAGATGGGAGATTCCCATTATTCCTGCACTCTATCAGTTATGTCTACATTGCCATTCCCAAAAGTGTCTACCAGCTTAGGGCTGGGAAGGTGGCTCAGTGGTAGAGCGCTTGCCTTGCATGCATGAGGCCCTGGGTTCGATTCCTCAGCACCACATAAGCTGGAAGTAGTGCTGTGGGTCAAGTGGTAGAGTGCTAGCCTTGAGCTGAAGGGCTGAGGGACAGCATGTAGGCCCAGAGGTCAGGCCCCACAACCGACCAAAAAAAAAAAAAAAGTGTCTACCTGCTTAATGATAACTTCTTTAGGACAATAAATTCCTGAACTGAATTCTTAGGGACAATGAATTCCTAAGAACCCTGTAACATAAAGACAAGTTCAGGAGATTTTCATATAAACTGATTCATCCAAATGAGTACTTAAGTGTAGGCTTAGTAAAAAGAGAAAATCTTTTAGAAATAAACTTCACAACTCTCACAACTATCAAGTTCCAAATACATCCAGATCTCAAGTCTTCAAAAGCATCCTTTCATTTTTTGGCAAACATCAGAACACCAAGGCACATCTGAAGATAAATTATTCTACCTAAAATATAGCAATCAACTCAATACATGGGAATTACAAGGTTACACAGGAAATGAAGGATATGGACTATAAGAACTAACCCCTCTTCCCATGCACAATTTAGTGCTTAAAACTAACTGAAAGGAAGAAAGCAATGGCTTAATTTTGAAAGAGACTACAAAAGGCTTACTAATGTAGTTACTGGCAGGCAGGCAGGACAAGAACAAAAATCTAGAAGGGGTAAGAAATCAAAAGTACTGGCACTGGCACTTACCCGCTCCTTGTAGTAGAAAGAGCTGATGGAGACCTGCTCTTTCTCACTGCGGGTAGGGCTCCCACTATACAAACGGAGGTTCCCAGGGGCCTCTGTGCGGATCTTCATTGGAGCAATCAAGCCAGTATGATAAGCGGACAAGGCTGAGAGAGATCTGTAGTGGAAAATGAGAATTATCCATACTGGCTACAGTCTTTATATTCCTAAGTAGTGCTACTGATAGCATTTGATGAAGCCAAGCGGAAAAGACATTGGGTGAGAGAGGTGAAGATTAAAAAAAGAACCAACCTGAAAAATGCTTTATCTACAACAGCACAGAATATTTCTATAATTGTGTATATAGAAAAGCATCTACAAACTAAGGAGTGAATTTAGAGACAAGGTCAATTGACAAAAATCTATTGTATTCCTGGGGCTGGGAAGGTAGCTCAGTGGTAGAGCGCTTGCCTTGCATGCCTGAGATCCTGGGTTCGATTCCTCAGCACCACATACGCAAAAAGAAAAAAGCCGGAAGTGGCGCTGTGGCTCAAGTGGTAGAGTGCTAGCCTTGAGCTGAAATGCTGAGGGACAGCGCCCAGGCCCAGAGTTCAGGCCCCATGACCAGACCCAAAAAAAACAAAAAAAAATCTATTGTATTCCTATATATCAGAAACAAACAAATGGAAAATAAGAAAATTTCATTTACAATAACATCAAAACACATCAAATACCTAGGAACAATTTAATTTAAAAAGTATCTATTGAGACCAGGCACTGGTGGCTTACACCTGTAATCCTAGCTACTCAGGAGGCTGAGATCTGAGGATCATGGTTCAAAGCCAGCCTGGGCAGGAAAGTCCATGAGACCCTAATCTTCAATTAACCACCAGAAAACTGAAAGTGGTATTAAGGTTCAAGTGGTAGACTGCTAGCCTTGAGCTGAAGAGCTCAGGACAGTGCTCAGACCCAGGGTTAAAGCCACACAAGCAACCAAAAAGAAAAAGAAAAACTAGAGTCAAGAAATAGACCATATATATTTCATCAACTGATATTCAAATTTACGAAAAAAGGAAATCCTCAAAAATCTGTTATAGAGCTGGGTGCCAGTGGCTTACATCTGTAATCCTAGCTACTCAGAAGGCTGAGAGCTGAGGATCACAGTTGAATTGAGGCCCGGCAGAAAAGTTCCCATGAGACTCTTATCTCCAATGAAGCACTCAAAAACTGAAAGTGACACTGTGGCTCAAAGTGGTAAAGTGCTAGCCTTGAGCAAAAGCACTCAGGGACAGTGCCCAGGCCCTGAGTTAAAGCTCCATGACTTAAAAAAAAATTATAGAACAACTGTTTATTTATACTAAATAAGACTAACTTTGACCATCACAACATTAAAAAAAAATGAATCTGTGATGGATCACAGACCTTAAACAAGGAATTTAAAAATTATAAAGCTTTCAAAAAGAAACAAAGAACAATAATTTTGAAACCTTGGTATAAGCAAATATTCTTTTGATACAACACAAAAAAATTAAAAAGCAATTGCCAAAATAAAAAAAATGATAGCTAGCTGGTAACTGGTGCTCACATCTGTAATCCTAGCTACTTAAGAAGGTGACATCTAGTGGATTAAGATTCAAAACCAACCTGGACAGAAAAAAAGTCTGCTAGACTCCATCTCCAAAATAACCAGCAAAAAGTCAAGCTCGAAGCATGACTTAAATGGTAGAGCACCAGCCAAGCAAATTCGCTGAATGAATGTAAGGACCTGAGTTCAGTGTGCCCTCGAATTTTTCTTTCAAGTGCTAAGAGCTCAAGCCAGGAGCCTTGAACACACTAGGAACATGCTCTTCCATTGAGTTATACCTCAAACTGAATTTGCCTTATTTGACAACAATTCTTGTATGTTAATTCTTCAAGTGCTTTGGTAGTAACTTTATAGCAAAATACCTTAGCTTTGTTGCAACTTAATGAGCTTTGATCTCTTATAAATCAATCTTGTAATGCAAGTTCACTGAAGAACTAAAACAAATTGTCAAAAATCAGGATCAGCAATCCTTCCCAGACATCTGTTCCTTCTGGCCCTGTGGATGCACCTTCTTTCTGCATCCCAAACTCACCTAGGAGTAGGTTCTGTTGGAGACACTGCTCGATGCATAGTCATGGGCCTTGTGAAATATACCAGGTAACCTGACAAAGGAGAGATAACACACACACACACACACACACACACACACACACACACATCAGTGTCAAGAAGCTAGAAGTAGCTGGGAATGTGGCATAAGCTGGACAAAAGTCAGTCTCCAGGGCCCAGGACAAATATGTTAAAGACTTCACAGGTACTTTACATAACACTACCAGGTTGATCTAGCCTCTGTTAAGAACCAGGGCTCTGAATAGACTCAAATCCAAGCTTATCAGAATGAAAAAATTAAGACTTCAGTTCTGATAAGGATTAAGATATACCCAAAGACACCAATTCTAGCACTATATAACACACTTCTGTCAAAAAGGCAAAAGTCTGGCCACGCACAGTGGCTCACATTTGCAATCCTACCTACTTAGACAAATATTTGAGAGGACAACAAGCTACCCCAGGTGAAAAGTAAGCCAAGACCCCATCTCAATCAATAGCTGGGCACAGTGGCCTGCACCAGTTATCCCAGTTATGTGGGAACCATAAATAGGAGGATCACAGTCCAAGTTGGCCTGGACATAACCCTTGTCTCAAGGGTAACTTTCTCCCCCTTTTTTCCTTTTTGCAGTACTAGAGTTTGAACTCAAGGCCTTGTGTTTGTTCAGGCTGATTCTCACTCAACTGGTGCTCTATCACTTGAGCTATACCTCCAGCCCTGCTCTTTGCTGGTTATTTTGGAAATGGAGTCTCAAGGATTTTTCTTCCCAATATGGCTTAAAATGACCATTCTCCAAACTTCAGCCTTCTGCGTCACCAGGATTACAGATTTGAGACACTGGCTCCTAGTTTTATGTAATTTTTTTCCCCCAGTTTTAGGGCTTGAACGCTAGGTCTGGGAATTGTCCCTGAGCTCCTTTTGCTCAAGGCTAGTACTCTACCACTTGAGCCACAGCACCACTTTCAACTTTTTCTTTTTATGTGGTACTGAGGAATCGAACCCAGGGCTTCATGCATGGTAGGCAAGCACTCTACCACTAAGCCACATTCTCAGCCCTGGCTCCTAGTTTAAAAAAAAATAATTATCTTCATTAACAAATACAATGTGTCTTGATATTGTTCACCCCGCCTCTTCTATCCCCTCAACAATGAAGCTTATTGAGACTGATTTGGAATGAGGGAGGGTGACAGAGGCTAAGTCTGATCAAGATACACTGTGTACATATATGGACATATCAAAATGAAACCCCCTGTAAAACTAATTGATGCTAATGTAAAAACATACAAGTAAATAACTAAAACAAAAAGGACTGAAAACATAGCTCAAATGTAGACAGAGTACCTGCCTAAAAAGTGCAAAGCCCTGAAATGGAATTCCAGTACAAAGTCTTTTGAATTCTTAGGAAATGAAAAATAAAGACAAATTTCTGACGATGTCTACAAAGAACATATATTCTTGGCTGCACTGTCTTGAAATCTAGAATCAGAAATCATCAAAGAGACTAACCTGCTCCACAGAACCTGGCTCCTGAAGTCCTAGGAAAGGGAATGTTGGCATCCTGGTAAGACCCATAGGCAGTGGTCACCCTCGCAAACGTTGGCAAGGGTGGTGTGACGGAATTTGGGAGAGCAAATGGGTTGCTAGAAGCACTGTCTTCTTGGTTCTGGAATAAAAGACAAACCAACTAAAAACTATAACCTGTCGTTAAGCGAATTACAAAAAGGGGTACAGTATTACAAAATCAGGGGAAGAAGAAACAAAGCAAGACACCAAAAGCATGGGATGGTACAACAAGTTCAATTTCCCACCACAAAAGACTCAAGGCAGGAGACAAGCTGGCGCAGGCAGGGCTCCAAACAGCTCTGGTTGCGTTTCACTTTCTGCAGGGAAGTGTCCTTCAGGATCTAAGAAAAGCCCAAGACACAGTCAGATCGGGAAAAGCACCATATTTCTCTACTAAGCTTTAAGTCTGCAAAGGTATCAGAAGCAGGGTGGCATGGGCCAGGGGAGGGGCGGGTACTGGAGCATGGTTAGGTCTGAGGCTTCAAGCATAACATTTCCTATAGGGCCTCCTAGAGAAGTCCTGGGAACCCAGACAGCCACACACATGGGTTTTGTTGTTTTGGTCGGTCGTGGGGCTTGAACTCTACACATGGGTTTTGATAGGGCAAATGCCAGTAACACAATAACTATTCTTTCTAGTGAATTCTACCCTTTCCTTCTCTGCAACTCCATTGCTATACCTTGGAAATAATACCCCTCGAGATTTACAACTGTTCTGAGTAAAAATATAATGTATTTTGTAAATCCTTACATCCTAACATTTTTAAAGCATATGCTATAGATATAAATTGAGCCAACCTGGAATAAACTGATAGGCATCCTGAAGATAGGCAAACCAACTGGACTGAGCTACTGCTACCTGCATGGCACTAAGAAACATATGAAATGTGCTTACTCCAAATTGAGAAGCACTGCAAGAAAGTCTAAAACTGCCAATGTCAAAGACTTTGATTTTTTTATACCCAAAATACAAAATACCTCAGCAACTTTTGATTATGCATTAATATGACAATATTTTGGAGGTGGTGTATTAAATTAAACATTACTATAACTACCTGTTGCCAGGTGCTGGTGGTTCATGCCTCTATTCCTAGCTACTCAGGAGGCTGAGATCTGCCAGCATGGGCAGGAAAGTCTGTGAGACTCTTCAATTAACTACTAGAAAACTGGAAATAACCTTGTGGCTCAAGCATTAGACTGCTTGCTTTGAGCTGAAGAGCTCAGGGACAGTACCCAGGCCCAGAGTTCAAGACCCAAGACTGACCAAAAAACAAAACAAAACAAAAAAAACTACCTGCTTCTCTAAATTTTTTTAGAATAGTTACTGGGAAATCTACAATTACATATGCTCTGTATTGTATTTCTCTTAGTCAGGACTGAATTAAGGTTTTTTTAAAACCACATGGCAATCCATCATTTTTTGCTAACTGAGAATGCTTTTTTTTAATTTTTATATTACTTTATTTAAAAAAGAAACAAACTAGTTATAAAAATCTTTGCTCCAAATAGATAGTATCTTACAAATGTTTTTTCCTGGGTTTTGTGTCTTAAAGATTACTATAGAAATGATTTCTAATATCATAAATAAGTGCTTGCTTTTGGCTGGGAAGGTGGCTCAGTGGTAGAGCGCTTGCCTTGCATGCTTTTCTTTTTTGTATGTCCGAATGAGGCAATGGAATTTTCAGAGTTGAAAATACCAAGTACTACAAAATTCTTGTTGTCAAAACTTCAAGATCCTTAAAATGAAATTTTCCTGGTTACATACAAGACCAGTAGACAGAATAATAAAGTACATATGATCCAAAATGGGCAGAAGCTGTCAGGACCTTCTACTCTTCACTCGTGATAATGCTCAGATGGAAAAAGGTGTGTCATCAACAGCTCATAGGGCTTTTTTTGTGGAATTCTCCCTGATAAGCTGTCAATGAACTGACACAAGTTTTAGAATCTGAAGGGTTGAAGACCAGCTGCCAGGCTCTGCTGTCCACCCACCTCACCTGCAACTAGCCAGCCTTTCTTCAGAATACCATGGCTCCTTCCATGTGCTGCCAACATGGTGGCACATAGGGAAAGATGACTTCCAAATCTTTCCTAGTTTTCACTACTCAGCAGAGATACTGACACACAAAAATGGAACTCTTGTCTTTTTTTTTTTTTTTAAAGAGAATTTGGGAATTCAGAGCCTTACCTTTAGCAGCTTAGCTTTCATAGTAGATGTGATAGTTGTGGGGTTAATAAACTGGAAGGAAGGCGCAGCATTGTTGGGGTACTGTGCTGGGAACTTCACCAGCATCTTGACGCGGTGGTTGCTACAGTGCACGGATACTGTACAACTCCTGTCTGCCGCATCCATCTGCAAGACATAAAGTACACACCTACACTAGAGACAAACTGCAAAGGGTCATCAGATACAAATGGATTTTATTGACTCACTTATTGGTAGTGCTGAGGATCAAATCTAGGGTTTTATTCATGGTAATCAAGCATTCTACCACTGAGCTACACCCTGTGCAAGATGCTAATCAATTTAAATAAGTTACCTACCTGAATGTCCCTGTTCCTATTAACCATGTAAAGAGAGAGAGTCTATTAAGACAAAGGAGTATGGGAGGCAATCCATTTCAAAGCAAATTTTGAGCTGGGCACCACTGGCTCACGCCTGTAATCCTAGCTACTTAGGAGGTTGAGATCTGAGTATCATGGTTTGAATCCAGCCCAGGCAGAAAAGTCCATGAGACTCTTATCTATACGCGTACACACACACACACACACACACACACACACACACACACACACACACACACACACACACACACAGCCAGAAGTGATGCTGTAACTCAAAGTGGTAAAGTGTTTAGCAAAAAGCTAACGGACAGTACCCATACCCTGAATTCAAGCCCCAGGACTGGCACACACATACACAAAAACTGAAATTGTTTATATGTAATAAAATATTTTAACTTAAAAATAAAAGTACCTAAAACTGTGCCTTTTAGATTGCTTTGAGTTAAAAGAAATGACCTGGAGGCAGTAACTCAAGCCTGTAATCCTAGCTACTTGAGAGGTGGAGATCAGAGGATTGTGGTATGAAGCCAGCCAAGGTATAAAAGTCCTTGAGACTTACTTAACAGCTAAGCTAGGCATGGTGGCACACACTTGTCATTCCACAGTACATGGGAAACACAATGGCTGGGTGTGGTAGTGCAGGCTACCATCTCAGTGATATAGGAAGCACAAATAGGAAGAGTGTAGTCAAGGCTGGCATGATAAGGCATCCTCTATCTTGAAAATAACCATCTCAAAAAGGTACTAGTAGAATGGCTCAATTGGTAGAGTCATAAAAAATTATTTTAGGAGTTAAAGAAATAACCTGACAATTTAAAAGTACTCCTGGAAAAAGAAAGTAGATTAATGGCATCCAGAGGCTGGGGAGGGGGCAGATGGAGAATGACCACTAATGGGCATGGGAGTTTGGGTTTTGGGGCTTCTTTTTCTTGTTTTCAGTGGGATTTGAAATCAGAGTCCTATGCTTTACTGCTGAGCCATGGTTCTGGCCCTTAGAGACAGAGCTCCACTTCTTGTTTAGGTATATATGCCTGGACCTCAAGCTCCCTATTTTGCTTCCCATAGTAGCTGTAGCGACAGGCACATGACACCATACCCAGTTTCTTTCTGTTAAGATGAAGTCTCATGGCCCATGCCACCCAAGCTGGCCTGGAACTGTGATTCTTCCAATCTTAGCCTCCCAAGTAGCTAGTATTCCAGGTGTGAGCCTGCAATATTTGTTTTTGTTGTTGTTATTTTTTGATTCATGATCTCACTATGTCCCTCCCCCCAATAAGGTGACATACAACTAATTTGTGCAGAACAGTTTGAAGAACTAATGGCGTAATTACATAAAGACACATATCTCTGCCTATAGTCAACTGGATCTAGGTGGAAAAAAAACTAATGAAACTCCTTCCTAGAAATAGTTGTATTGTCAAAGCTAATAGAATTCACAAACTTAATAGACCATGATAATGACAATTTGCCTTATAAAGGTTAAATGTGTTTGTGACTTTATCACTATCCCACAATACTGTGAAATTTATGTAATCACTTAATCTCATTAAAAAATTACTGAAACACACACACACACACACACACACACCCCACACCACACACTTTCCTAATCACTAAGCCTTCCCATAACAAGTACCTTCATGCATAGTGAAAATAGATATTAGAGAATCTAAAGAGATGTTCAAGCCTCAGCTCATCTTAGGAGAAAAGAATACAGTTAGGAAAAAAAAAGCTTGCAAAATATCTTTTTCATTATAAAACCTAAAGAAGTAGGCAGACTTACCTGTTAGCACAGCTATTTGCTGACTTAAATCATCACTGAAATAGCCTCATCTCCCACAAATTGCCTTCAGCAAGTGTGAGACACAGTACATTAAACTCCAACCTACCTCCACGTTGACATTCCGGATTTGTACGTTGATAAGGGAGAATTCCTGCTGAAGAGTCTGAGGCAGGCCCAGTTGATCTGATTTTCTCTCGTCCAGAAGACTGCTAGGGGGATCTTCCTTAAAGGCTAGCAAGAGAGATTCATGGTTGGAAGATTTTTCTTTTGAAAATGAATCAGTTCTGAGTTATCTACCACACAACTCTGAAATGTATAAAATTGCCCCTAAGACACCAGTTGCACCCATTACCTTCTTCCTCCCCATGGCTAGAATTTTGCTGGTGATCTGTATCTTGAGTGTGCAGGGTCTTCTCTGGTTCCGGCAGAAGAGAAATGCTCTCAATGAACTCATCAACACCATCCAGTATGTCATTGGCACAGAGCTACAACCAAGGGTAGAAAATGGAGCTGGGGATGTAGATCAATGGCAGAGTACTTCCTTAGCATGTATGAGGCCCTGGACTGAATCCCAGGGCAATAGGAAAGATCAGTGTGTCTAGTTTAAAAGTACTGATTTAAAAACAAAAATCTCAGGCCAGGGCTGGAAAAGTGGCTCAGTGGTAGAGTGCTTGCCTTGCATGCATGAGGCCTTGGGTTCAATTCCTCAGCAGAAAATACTGTAAGTGGCACTATGGCTCAAGTGGTAGAGTGCTAGCCTTGAGCTGAAGAACTGAGGGACACCACTCAGGCTGAGTTTGGGCCCCACAACTGACCAAAAAAAAAAAAAATCTTAGGTGGGGCTGGTGGCTCACACTTGTAATCCTAGCTACTCAGGAAGTTGTAATCTGAGGATCACAGTTCAAAACCTGCTTGGGGCATGAAAGTCCAAAAGACTCTTATCTCCAATAAACTACTCAAAAAAAAAAGCCAGAAGTGGAGCTGTGGCTCAAGTGGTAGAGCACTAGCCTTGAGCAAAAGAAGCTCAGGGACAGCACTCAGGCTCTGAGTTCTAGCCCAAAGGACTGGCACCAAAAAAGGAGAAGAGGAAGAAGGAGGAGGAAGAGGAAGAAGAAGAGAAGGAGAAGGAGGAAGAGGAGGAGGAGGTGGTGGAGGAAAAGAATATCTCAAAGGAGGGGCTGGGAAGGTGGCTCAGTGGTAGAGTGCTTTCCTTGTAATGTATGAGGCCCTGGGTTCGATTCCTCAGCACCACATAAGCAAAAAAAAAGCCGGGAGTGGCGCTGTGGCTCAAGTGGTAGAGCGCTAGCCTTGAGCTGAAGAGCTGAGGGACAGTGCCCAGGCCCAGAGTTCAGGCCCCACAACCGGACCCCAAAAGAATATCTCAAAGGAAAGATGTGTCAGCCAAGAAATGACATAATCAAAATAGATTTTGCCCATCAACAACTCTCCCTGGTTAAACACAAAGGATAAAAACTCTATTGTTCTACTCTGGACATTTTTCATCACATTGAGAGTTTATGAAGGGCTCAGAAAAAATTAAATTTAAATTCTGCCTTAATGGAGTTATTTATGAGCAAAAGTAACATAGCCTCAAAGCATAAGCAGCAAATGAGATTTCTTGGAAAAAATAGGTTAAAAAGACATTCAGATATAAGACCTGGGGCTGGGAAGGTGGCTCAGTGGTAGAGCACTTGCCTTGAGTGCATGAGGCCCTAGGTTCGATTCCTCAGCACCACATAACCAGAAAAAAAAAAAGCCGGAAGTGGTGCTGTGGCTCAAGTGGTAGAATGCTAGCCTTTAGCTGAAGAGCTGAGGGACAGAGCCCAGGCCCAGAGTTCAGGCCCCACAACTAGACCCAAAAAAAAAAAAAAAAAGACCTGTCTAGATGCTCAAGAGTGACTTCACACTAAATAGGTGTTACAAATTTTTTTATTTTTATTTTTGTCGGCCGTGGGGCTTGAACTCTGGGCCTGGGCGCTGTCCCTCAGCTCTTCAGCTCAAGATTAGCACTCTACCACTTGAGCCACAGCACCACTTCCAGTTTTCTGAGTGGTTTACTGGAGATAAGAGTCTCACAGACTTTCCAGCCCAGCTAGTTTTGAACCATGATCCTCAGATCTCAGCTTCCTGTGTAGCTAGGATTACAAGTGTGAGCCACCAGTGCCCAGCTAGGTATTACAAATTTTAACCAGCATTTTCCATCAATCCTTTGCAAACTGGTGGTCCAAATGCCATGGAGGATTTGATACTGGTGAGACATGTATATTTCCCCATCAAGGGGAAGATAGCCTTACTGAAAAAGGAAAGATCAAGGGTCACAACAGCAATTCATACCATACAGGGGGTGGGGGGGTCGGGTGTATGTGTGTGTGTTGGGTTTTTGTCAGTTGTGATCTTGAACTCAGTGGGGCGGTGTGTGTGTGTGTGTGTGTGTGTTGGGTTTTTGTCAGTTGTGAGCTTGAACTCGGGGCCCAGATGCCGTCCCTAAGCTTCAGTTGTGAGCTTGAACTCAGTGGGGCAGGCGTGCGTGCGTGCGTGTGTGCATGCGTGTGTGTTGGGTTTTTGTCAGTTGTGAGCTTGAACTCAGGGCCCAGATGCCGTCCCTAAGCTTTTGTGCTTGGGGCTGGGAAGGTGGATCAGTGGTAGAGTGCTTACTTTGCATGCATGAGGCCCTTGGTTCGATTCCTCAGCACCATGTAAGCAAAAAAAGCTGGAAGTGAGGCTGAGGCTCAAGTAGTAGAGCACTAGTCTACAGCTGGAGGGCTCAGGGACAGTGCCCAAACCCAGAGTTCAGGCCCCACAACCAACGACAACAACAAAAAGAAACCTAAGCTTTTGTGCTCAAGGCTAGTGCTCTATCACTTTGAGCCACAGTACCACTTCAGGTTTTCTGGTGGTTAATTGGAGATAAGACCCTCACCGACTTTCCTGCCTAGGCTGGCTTTGAACTGCAATCCTCAGATCTCAGCCTCCTGAGTAGCTAGGATTACAGGTGTGAGCCAACAGTGCCTGGCTGCTACTGTGGTTTATATAAAAAACAAGTATTATACATGAAGAAAATTTAGAAATAGCTTCTTAGAAGAGATGCATTAATGGATGAAAGAGCTGTGAATATCTGCACAGTATAAGGGTAGGGTTCTTGAGAAGAGCAATCCACAAAGCCAACAGGCTGTTCATCATTTTCTATTAAGAAAAAAAAATGGAGGCTCTTTAGCCTTAAAGTGCTGAACACTTTGGTTCATTAAAACTTCAAAGCCAGGCTGGGAATGTGGCTTAGTGGTAGAGTGTTTGCCTAGCATGCATGAAACTCTGAGTTCAATTCCTTAGTACCACAGAAGCTGGAAGTAGCACTGTGACTAAAGTAGAGTGCCAGCCTTGAGCAAAAAGAAGCTCAGGGACAGTGCCCAGGCCCTGAGTTCAAGGGCTAGAACTGGTAAAAAACAAAAAACAAAAAAACTTCAAAGCCAATGTGGCAAGCAGCTAGGATGCATTAAACATCTATCATGTATCCTCTAACTTGCACAAATGCAGAATGTTGCATTTTTTGGTCTAATGTATTTATTTATATTTTTCCATAATAGTAATGAATACATACCCTCTGCATCTGGTAATCCACCCGCCACATTCTTAAAGTCTGATCTCGGGACCATGTAACTAGCTGATAGTCTTTAGATCCTAGAAAGCAACAAATAACAACCATAAAATTCTTCTGAAATAGACATTCATTTTGTTATATGTTACAATAGTAATACAGTCATTCATTCATTCATGTAATATATCCAATAGATATTTAATAAACATCTCCTTTATGTTAGCACTATTCTAGACATCAGAACAATAGCATGAATAAAACAATCCCTATTTTGAACCTTCTTCTTCCTTTGGCTACAATGACCTGATTCTCTTCCTGCCTCTTTAAGAGATATTACCCTCACAGTGAAAATCAAAATCAAACCTGGGGTGGGGATATAACGTGGTAGTAGACTGCTTGTTAATGAGGCCTTGGGTTTCATCCCTAGTACTTCATAGATAGATAGATAGATGGATGGATGGATAGATAGATAGATAGAAGTAGATAATTGTGGTCAGAAAGTTTCTGGGATCCTTACATTTATTCTATTTCTGACCTTACTATGGAATTACATAAAGTATCACTTTATAATTATGAAATTGTATACATTCTATGTAATTTTCTATTACAAAAATTACAGTTGCCTAGATACACAATATAATTTCTTTTCTAGGGCAAAGTGCAATAGATCAAGTTGAAAGCTAAAGGCCGTTTACACCATTAGTGGAATAAAAAAAAAAAGCAGCCTGATGTTTTTGAAAACAGATTTTGTAGCTAAGAATAAGAAAGCCATGATGACGATCATTAGTCTCTTCAGAAATATTCTGGAGCCAGCCACAACTATAATCCCAGTTACTTAGGAGATTGACACAGGAGGATTTGTGCATTTGAGGCCAGTTTGGGCACCACAGCAATAGGAGATGACTGCAACTGGGGGAAGCGGTGATTTTTTTCTGGGACTTGGGACAAGTTTCATCATTCCACTTGCAAAGTTTCCCTTCCGTAATATGAAAACATCAAGAAATATACTTTTGCTCTGTCAAACATTAGAGATTATGACAATAAGATATTAAGAAAAGAAAGACTGCATGTAAGGGTACAAAGGTAAACTGATGGAAAAATTAAGGCCAAGGGCTTTCTAACTCCCTTTATTCTATGACCCTGAATTAGTGAGGGCTGACTAGATTAAGCCACAATAGTAATCAACCCCAATATCTCAGTAGCTTAATGCAAGAATTTCCTGGTTTAGTGGGGCACCAGTGGCTCACGCCTGTAATCCTTAAGCTGCTCAGGAGGCTGAGATCTAAGGATCATGGTTTGAAGTCAGCCTAGGCAGGAAAAGTCCATGAAACTCTTACCTTCAATAAACTAATCAGAAAAAGCCAGAAGTGGTGCTGCAGCTCAAGTGGTAGAGCACTAGCCTTCAGCACAGAGAAGCTCAGGGTCAGAGCCTACACCCTGAGTTCAAGCCCCAGGAATGGCAAATAAAAAAAAAATTCCTGCTTACTCTACACCTCATCCTCATCCTCATGACAAGATCTTAGGGCAGCAGCTCTAGCCAGAGTCTTGACATTTGCTGTGACAGAGGCAAAGTGTGTAACTGCACACTAAGCCTTGACATTTCTATCCTGCTCATGTTCCACCATCAAAGAAAGTCACATGGCAAAACCATCCTCAAAAGATTTGAGAAGTTGGGGGCTGGGAAGGTGGCTCAGTGGTAGAGCGCTTGCCTTGCA